AGTATTCATGTTTGTGTATTTAAAACATTAAGTTACATTTGGATTTTGAAGCAGTAAGTTCCAAAGACAGGAAGATTAAATTGCATAAAATGTTTTGTAAACATTCAAACCTTCTAAAGACAGTCTTTAACTTCTGACCATACAATAAAACGTCATGGTGTTCCAGATTTTACTGAGCGTGTGCAATTACTATATACATTGTACCAGGCACGCATATTATAACGTTGGTAGAATAAGATTCTTCAGAACAAACCTAATGTCTCATGTCTCATTGCTTTTAACAGATTAACGTAATCGCTTGCGTCAGAAACTGCACATTATTCTGTACCATATCATCTAATTTAGGCTACTTCTTGTACAGAGCTGAGAGAATTCTCTGGTATTTTTGCCAATGACGTTTTTGTCTATAAAAAAAAACACTTTACCCGCTCTTACACAACAGTATCTCGTCTTCGCCAATCAAAGAATTGTCTCGAAGATAATTGTTTTGTGGCCGCCAATGAAAACATCTCGGTATTTTGATATTTGCTTTCACTTCTCACGCTCACCACTTACACTATCTGCTGGTTTCTCTTGGGATGGATGCATCCTACTTCTTTTATTCCTCTCCTCTGTTCTTTCAAAGTAAGCTATGCGGTTATTGTTCAGATTCTGCATCTGTTCTACAACGAATCGAACGAATAGAGTTTGCTGCCCGTTTAGGAGATACCCAGTTTGCTGCCTGTGAACTTGCTTGGAAAATACCAGAGTCTGCTACCTGTGAAGTTGTTTGGGAGTTACCCAGTTTGCTGCCTGTGAACTTGCTTGGAAAATACCAGAGTCTGCTACCTGTGAAGTTGTTTGGGAGTTACCCAGTTTGCTGCCTGTGAACTTGCTTGGAAGATACCAGAGTCTGCTGCCTCTAACTTATTTGGAAGATACCCAGTTTGCTGCCTGTGAACTTGCTTGGAAGATACCAGAGTCTGCTACCTCTAACTTATTTGGGAGATACCCAATTTGCTGCCTGTGAACTTGCTTGGAAGATACCAGAGTCTGCTACCTCTAACTTATGTGGTAGATACCCAATTTGCTGCCTGTGAACTTGCTTGGAAGATACCAGAGTCTGCTACCTCTAACTTATGTGGTAGATACCCAATTTGCTGCCTG